AAAATCCATCCCAGACCTCTGACCCCACATTTTGTCCTGCTCTGAACCTTCTCTTGCTCTGCTATTCTTATTTGAGTCCCCTCTGTGAGCTGAGGGGTGAGAAGAGCACACAGCATTCAGGATTTATGCAGTGCATTGGGCCATGCCTTGGCTGTGGTCCATTGGACCACACAATGGCAAAGCTGTGCTCTCTGGTTTATATCTAATTTCATTCCTACCTGATGGTATCCAATTTGCTTTTCCTGCTGGGAAAAGAGTTGATATTCTCATGGTAGTATCTGTCTTAACCCAAATTTTATAACCAAGACTGGACTGGTTTTCCTTTCATGCAACGCTTCACAACAACCTACTCCAAATTTCACCTTCCCCTGTATTGCCCACTCTCTATAAAATCCTTCTGCAGTTCTGTATTTGCAACACATAAATGAAAACAAATTAATGTACACAAAAATAAAGTTTGCAGGATTTGTTCAGACATGATTTGCCATTTGCCCTCTGAGCCCAACACTCACAAACAGGGAGTGCAGTGGTGCCTGCAGGAGAACAGGCATGGGAAGAATGATCACTCTCTTCTCTTGCAGTGCTGTTAAAAGTGAGCTCAACACCAAATCTAATTTGTGTTGGTGATGGCAGGAGAGCATTAAACCAGCTGCTGCTTTTTGATGCCACCATCCCTCCCACCCTGCCCCTTTTGAACAGGGAGTTGTGGCTTAGGGCTGCATCTTAGGTCTAAATCAACAGAGGGGGTTGGGGTTTTTTCAAATAAATGCAAAATTGAGAAGAAGTAAGCTGTATAAGCCAGCAAACACTATTAATGGGATCACAAAATGATGAAGCAAGTTGTCTCCAGCAAGCCATGGGTTTCCATCCTGCCAGCAGGAGAGGTGGAGAACAGAAGTGGGAACCTTTCTTCCATTTCCATCAGCTGTGACCTGCTGTGGAAATTAATTCCCTCTCAAAGACTTTAACAGTAAAGATGCACAGCAATGCCCTGCTCTGGGAAAGCCCTCCTGCACCACATAAATGGACCCAGAACCTCCCTGAGGGATCTCCACCAGGATTTCCTGCCCAAGGTCTTTGGGGAAGAAGGTCAGTGTGCAGCAAAGGAGACCAGACATGGCAAGACTCTGGATTGGTGACAACAGAAGACATCAGCTGTGGGGATTGCACCAAGGCTATGAGAGCCTGGAAAGGAGCTGGACTCAGAGGACAACAATCAAACAGTGCCTTGAACCCCACAGAAATGTGATTGTGAGAACTGGAAATGAGAAAATGAGACCAGTTCATCTACTTGAACAGTTCAGACAAAAAAAAAAAAAAAATATATATATATATATATATGTTAGAGCCAGTCAGAAAATTTACCTTTTCTTAAGTCTATATATAGACTTAGAAAAACAATAGGTTCTTTTTTAATTCTAGTTTGAATGTGTGGTATTTAGATTAAAGAGGCAGAAAACCAGCCTGCCCACTGTTAACTGGAGCTGGGGCACTGGCACATTGTCACCAGCCCCCAAAAGACAACACCACAAACTGCTGATTTACTGAATGCCAGCACAAATGAGCTCTGCAGCATCAAGAGAGGAAGTTTCCCACAAGGAAAACTCACAACACATCCAGGTCTCCTATCAAACTTTCCTCTGAGGTACCAACAAGCCTGGGGATTATGGAGAGTTTCCACCCTGTGGTCAGTTAAAGGCTGCTCCGAGGAGAGGTGAGAGCACAGAGGGTTTGTGGTTTGCATTCTGGATTTTAAGGTAAGTGACGTGCACACAGAGCACCCAGAGCAGTGGGCAGCACTGGCCACCAAACTGGAAACACTGGCTGCAGCGGAAAAACAGAGTGAGTGCCTGGCTGGTGGCTGCTGCACTTGACATTCTGCAAAGCCCTTTGAGTGCTGCAGCTTTGCAAAGAAAGGGGGGCAGCAAGGGGCTCACAAACCACAGCTTCACACCGGAAAAGCTGCGTGCTACAGCCTCAACAGGGTCTTTTTCCCTCTGTTCGAAAAACAATGCTGGTAATTTGCCACTAAATTTTGAGGTCTTCATTGAAACTTTCCATTCTTGGTTATGAAAATGGAATGGAAAATTTTGATGCAATCCTCCAAGGGTTAGGAACAGGAAGAGTGAGCAAAGTCTGGCGTCACCCCTCAGTTGGCATCACTGACCCCTCACAGGGATCCAAGAGCAGCTGCTCATCCTCAGGAATGTGGCATCACTGCCTGGCAATGGGATGTCCTTGTGGAGCACCAGGAGATGCCATGGGCAGCAGAACAATGGGCACGGTCATTGTGGTGCTCCTTTGGTGCTCACCGACCACGGCAGCGCCACTGCCACGTCCCAGAGGAGCTCCAGCCTCTCAGCACTGGGGCACATGCAGGCAGTGTCTGCTATGGCTGGCACTGAGAAACTGGAGAGTTCTTACCCCTTGGAAAAGCCCCTGAGAGCTTTCCACAAAATCAAACATATCCAAAGCTCAGCATGTTCTGCTGCCTCAGCTCCCTCTCGTTTCCCGTTCCTTCTCTGTCAAATGGATGTAAGGAAAGAGAGAAAATGAATTCTAAATTCACCTCCTGCTAGCCCTGATCAAAACCAGGTGAATCCTTGTTACTCATCCTGCATGATTTTGTCTCTTGTCTCCTTGCTCCTGTCTTCTACTAATTATTTGACATTATTAAATAGAGATCTAAGCTGGCCCTAGTATATAAATATAAACCTCAGTCATAAGCAACTTAGGTTGGAGTGCAAAGCAATCAGAGCCCTGTAACCTTAGCTGTGAGTAAAATAAAACTTATATATAGGTTTGGGAGAAAAAAGAAATTACTTCTACTTTCTAATTAACCTGTCTGGTCTCCTGACTTCTCTTATGTGATGCTCTGCAGAGGTAACTGGTTGAGTATTTTTTCTTTTTCCTTAGTCATATCATACCAGTGACCCTACAACAGAAATTACTAACTAAATTACTAATAAAACAATGCTGGTGTTCATTGATTTGGCTTAAGTCCTCAGTCAAACAATGACAGCTCATTCTAAAATCCTGTATAGAGGACAAACAGGCAAACCAGAACATAAAAAAATCAAGGAGATTCTTTAATTAATCTGATTCCCCACCTTCTCCCCTAGTTTTAGAGTTGGTCATCACTATTAAACTTACATTAACCAATCTAAATTATTTATACAAGTGTTGATTTTAAATCAGAGCTTTTTCCTAGAGGTCCTGTTTGTGTTCTGGAGCTTTTCCTAATCAAATGATTGTCACTGCAACTTTACTTTTTGTTCTTTGTCACTATGCAAAATAGAAATAGCTTTGTACTACACAACACCTTATCACAGAAATCAGTAAAAAAGCAATGTGTGCCAGCCCTCCTGCAGCCATATCTCCCAATGACAATAACGTTTTGCCTTGCCTTTATAGGATACATTCATTAGCAAGGGAAAAGGTGGCCTTGCCTGGAAATCAGCTCAGTCTGTGAGCAAACAGGACTGAGATCAAGAACAGCTCCACACAGAGGAGAGGAATATCTGGGCACCACTTTGGTACCCTGGGCTGATTCATGTAAAATTTACTGCTTGTCACAGACAAGAAAGAAAGGAGATTTCCCTGTTAAGAAAGGCAGTAGCCCTTCCTGGATGAGCCTTTAAATGCACAGGTTCTCCCAGCACATCCAGCACCACATCTCGAGGACATGCACTGCGTGCTCACTGCAGCAGAGTGAGAACCCAGAACTGACGACATTTTTGTCCCATCCTCATTGGCCAGCACATCCATTTCCATTTTACTTTTATTTGCTTTATTTAAGGTAGACATTACAAGCCTCCTAGCCTAACAAAAGCATGAATTTCACATATTTCAGCAGGCCTAACATGAGCTTTCTTCACTCACCAACATGCATTGAAGACCAGAGAAATAAACCCAGTTCCTAAACTGTTTTCAGTGATTCAGCTCTGAGCCCCAACAGAAATGGCATCAAACTCAGCAGCACCTACTTTCTGACAGATCCAGGTAAAAGGGGCTTTCTTTGCAGGGGGGTAATGGAAAAAAAATAGAAAAAAAATCAACAGGAAAGCCAGGAAGAAAGAAAGAAATCAGGCAAAAGCCCAGCCCCTTGCAGGCTGGTGAAATTATTGTTACTGTGTGTTTTTAAAGCTCAAGGAAGCATCACCCATCCCTATGTGCCAGTGGTCACCTGGAGGCAGCAGCAAGGGCCATTGAGGCACACAAGGGGATTTTTTTGGCAGAGAGGAAACACTTGTGGTGAGAGAAGAGAACCACGAGTTGGTAAAACAAACAAAATGCAAAGCACACGCTGGACATTGGGTTCTCACACGAAGTTTCTGCTCACAGACCACCTGCCCTGCACGAAGAGTTTTGAAATTACAAAGAAGAATTAAACAAAGAAGAATTGCAAAGACAACAATCAGGCACCTGAAGGACCCAGCTGTGTGCCAGCAGCACGTGTGCTTGGAGATGAATGATCTGTGTCTCTATGCCATGAAACACCTGTGTCCCACTTGCTGGGTGACAAAACAGTCTGGGCTCTGCCATCCGCGTGAGACCCCTTGAGTGTGCTAAGCAGGAGGCAGAATCCCTGCCAAGAAAAGCAACAACAGCTTGCACCAAAAGCATGGGACTCATCCATAACTCCTGCAGAGCTGGAGCAGCTGTGGGTCCCCACAGGGCTGGGGAGAGCAGGTTGTGCTGGCTGGTCCTACCTCAGCCATGAGCAGCATCAATGGATCTCTAGGGAAGGCATCCAGCAAAAAGCCTTGAGGCACCATTAAGAACTGATAAGGATGTATAAACTCTGGACAATAAATTAATTTCTTGAGGAATCTTTTCAGTCCTCGTTATGCCGCAGATGCCGAGCATCACCTCCCTACCCAAGAGGGTCCTGGTGACATCACATCCTCCCCAAAGAGTGACACAGCCTCCCAAGCCAAGTGACAGAGATCTTCTCAGCTGCTCTGCACCAGCCCCAGGCACAGGCACCCCAGGGGAAGATGGACACGTCTCCTGCCCTGCTCCTGCTGCTCGCGCTGGGATTCTGTGAGTACGGACACGGGGCTGTGCAGCCCCTTCACTGGGACAAGGAAAGCCTTTCTACTGAATCCAAGACACTGGGGTAAATAACTAAGGGGGTAAAAAGCAAACCCAAAAAGCTGACCTTGAGGTGTGCTCAGTGAGTTTGGAAGGAAGGGGGGCATCACCTCAGGCAGCAAAGGGCAGCCAGAGGGGCGGCTGCAGCACCACCTGCACTGGGAACGGAGATGGATCCAATGAGGGCTTCCAGAGGGGAGGGAGAAGGGTGGGAAAAAAGAGGCTTTGCCAGAAGTGTAAATGGAGTCACTTCAGAGAAGCTGGGAAGGTGGAACGTCCCTAAGACACTGGAAGGGCAGCACCCATCTCTCAAGCCCGGGATTGCTGAGCACCCTCCATGCACCATCCCAGCAAGGACTCCAAGAAAACCTTCACATCCTCCAGACAGTGAGGTCTTCCCTCTCCATTTGTACTCCCAGCACATAGAAAGGGAGGGAGGGAGCTTTCCTCAGAGGACCCTTTGACTCTGCCCACGTGGTTCCAGCAGGGATTTCTCTCCTGCAGGCTTCCCTGGGATCTATGGCCAGAAACTTGAGATGAAGGTCAGGTCTCCCAAGGACATCCGGCAGCTCCGGGTGGGACAGAGGCTGGAGCTGGAGTGTCACACTGACAGGAGCCACGGGGCATCCTGGATCCGCCAGGACAGCACTGGGACCCTTCACTTCATTGCCTTCATCAATTCCCTGTCCCGGCCCACGTTTGAGGGGGGGCAGAGAACGTCCACACGCTTTGAGGCGAGCAAAGACAGCACGATCTATCGGCTGGCAGTGAAATCTTTCACACCACGGGACCAGGGCTGCTATTTCTGCGTGATGAATCTCAACCAAATGCTGCAATTCAGCCCCGGCCAGCGAGCCTTCCTCCCAGGTCAGCAACACCTTCCCCAGCCTCACCCAGCCCTGCCAAAATGCCCAGCACCTCTGCCCGTGCCCTGTGTGAGCAGCCATCCCTCCACAAACCCCATTTCCCTGCTGGCTTGCCCAGGGCATCCTGTGAGCAACCCCTGCTCCTCCTGCCAGAGCCTCCCTGCTTCCCACCTCTCCTCCTGCCCAAAGGCAAACATCACTGGGCTGCATCTCCCCATCCCCATCTTCCCCACCCCAGCCACGGCTCTGAGGGGAGAGCATTAAAGCAAAGTCCATCATCACCCTCTCCTTCCTCAGCACACACAGCTCCCAAAAGCTCAGGGGGCTCAGGCTTTGTGGGGATGGTGTCACAAAGTGAGAAACAAGCAGGCTGCAGCTCCCTCCCTTGGGTTTTGGGAGTCCCCCTCCAGGATGGGCTCTGTGAAGTTCTCCTGGAGCAGAACTCAGGAGCACCCGTGCCCTGGCAGGGGTAAGAGAGCAGAAAGGCAGGAGAAATCTGTTTTATTTTATTTCTCTACATGCTGAATTAACCCATTTCACTTACAGCCACCACCACAGTGGCACCCAGCACAACAGCACCCACCACCCAGGGCAGCACCACTGAGGAGCCCAACCTCACAACTGCAGAGCCTGGTAACCTGAATGCAGGGAGGGAGAGGGGATGGGCTGGACTCTGGTTCACTGATGCCAAGGGGGATCCTGCAGATATTTTGGGGTTGGGAGGGAGAGTAAAAGTCCACAGATCTTCTTTATCTTTAAGGATTAAATGCTAACATTTCATTCAAACTAAGAATGGCTAAATATGATGTAAAACGTTTGAGCATGCCTGGGCACAGCAGGGATATGGGGAGGGAGGGCAGAGCCTTGGGGGCTGGAGCTGCTTTCAGCCTCAGCAGGAAACAGGAGAAAACTTTTGCCCACATCTCCTCCCTCGAGTCCCCAGGAAAACGCTGACACCAGAAGTGTCTTGAGCACTTGGTGGACATTCCATCTTCTCTCTTCCTGCAGAGGGAGGAATGCAGGGAGATCCGAATTTCTTCTGCCACATCTTCATCTGGGTGCCCTTGGCAGGTGCCTGCCTCCTGCTCCTCCTTGCCCTGGTGATCACCATCGTGCTGTGCCAACGTAAGGCTCCCCACACCCCTCTCCACATCCATCCCCACACCCCTCTCCACACCCATCCCCACACCCCTCTCCAGACCCATCCCCACACCCCGCTCCAGACCCATCCCCACAAACCCTCTCCAGACCCATCTCTGCTCTGAGCCCAGCCCTGCCCTCAGGGACATGGATGTTCTGGCAGTCTGGGGAGGCAGCTGAAAATCCAAATACAGCCAATGCAAGGCAAGGGGCACTGCTAAAATCAGTGTCTGCATTTTAATCCTCATCACTAGGGTTAGGATGAGAAAGAATTATCAACCTAGAATCACACAGTCAGGAAATTATTTGTGATGGAAAAGACTTTCAAGGAATTAAAATAGATTAGAAAGAGACAGTACTTACCCTACCAACTGTCTGGGCTTATCAATGGGTGTGTCAGAGGGAAAATCCCCAGAGCCTGAAACATTCTGACCTAACAGAGTAAATCTGCTCCAGCACATGCTGAGAGCAGCCTCTCAAGCTGGAACCAGATGAGAAACTTCATTACAATATGCTCAGTGAAAAGCCCTCAGATGCAGGTAATTTCTGCACCAATTGCCAAGCCCTTCAGGATGGATTTTTACCTTAGTCTAAAATTAATGACTGGGCCATAATTAAATATTTAAATAATTAATTATTTGGCTTAATCTACCCCAAAGTAACAACACAGAGGCTAGAATGGAGGAGAGCATCATTACCTTGGGTGCACGTGATGTGGCATCACTGCCACTCACCTGCTGCAGAAATTATTGCTGCTGAGGGACTTTCAGCAATGCACCAAAGTCACTGGAGACAGAAAACAGAAATAATTCACCCTCAGTGAATTCTCAGGCTGACCCTGCTGCTGCTACTCACCTCAAAGATTAATTCGTGAAAATATTTTAAGTGCATTACTGGGGTAACACGAGCTGCAGCACCTCTCCCTGGCATGGATTTCCTCAAAAATAGGCTTGGTTTATCTGTTATTAAAGATATCAGCTGCAGGGGAGCACCAGCCCTGCCTCACTGGAGTGTTTCTTCCCTGACCTGTCCCTTGGCACCTTTGAACTAAAACATTTTCTCTCTTTTCTTAGAAACCAGAAGACGAAGATGCAGGTGCAAGAGGTGAGTGACAGGCACTGGCATTTTCCTCCTCAACTTGGCAACATCTCACCCCCAAGAGATGAAGGGGGCAGGTGCCAAAAAGCAACCTAAAAATGCTTCATCTGATAGAAGATGGCTGGGAGGAGCCTGAGCAATGACTTAAGGGCAAAAACAGAACACAAGGTTCTCCTGTTCTCTATTTCTGGTTTTGCTTGGGGTTTTTTATCTGTTTGGGTTTTTTCTTTGGTTTTACAACTATTAAGCCATTCAAATCATTGAGCTGTCACCCAGCAGCAGACACAAAACAGAAGGACAGGAGGTGTTTGTGGCAGCCCAGAAGCTTTGTGCATCACCCAGTGCTCATAACTCACCACATTTCTGTGCTTCCAATGCACCATTCCCAGCTTCAGCTTGGGGGTGACCATATTCCATCCCTTCCCCAAACCATGGCTGCCTATTCAGATGTGCCCACGGCTCCCATGTAAGTTCCTGCACCCCAAATCCCCCTCTGCACCATGCTGCACCAGGGTTCCTGCCTCAGTTTCCCCCCAGGCTCTGAGGAGCAGCTGCTGCAGCCTCACAGGAAACACCAGCACAGACAGGGATGGATTGAGGGGTAACCCAGTTTCTAGGGCACACAGGAACCTTTTCTTTATGCTTTCCCTCCTGCCTGCCCAGCTCAGCCTGGGTGACCAGGAAAACACCATCAGAATGAGAATTGCAATGTCCTGGGGTTTGGGACAGGAAATGCTTTTTGCCCACACAAATTTTGCTTCTGCAAATCAACCTCCCTGCAGCTGGTTTGTCACTCCTGCTGCTCTGAATGAAACCACTTCTGCAGGCTCTGTGTGCTGGCATTATAGTGCAAGAGTTCTATTGTCATTACATTGCAAGGGTTCCATATTGCTGGAGTTTTGTACCTCCTTGATGTTCTTGTAGGCATCTCCTCCAGGCACTGACTCTTCCTCATCCTCACAGCAGCCAACCAACTGCAGTTCCCACCAATCCACTCTTTTATAGCACTCTTCTTATTGGCTACAGCTGTGGCCTGTTAACATCAGGCCTGCTCCTAATCCTTAATAATTAACCCAGCTGCAACTCTTTAGGGGGTAAAATTACTTTCTAAACTACCTTTGTTTACCTATATTCTATTCCCCTACATTTGTGCACCCTGGGGCTTGTGGCAAGAGAGACACCAAGAAATCCCCATTACTGCCCAAAGGCAACCAGGGCTGGGCTGGTGCTTGGCACAGCTGGGTTGCCAAGAAGCTTTGGAACAGCATTTCCACACCCCTGGAGCCTCATTCTTTGCCAATCAAAGCATCTTTTAAACCAGATAATTCCTGTTCCCTGTTATACATCCATGGGTTTTTTAGTACAAGAGGTAATTGCCATTTAGTTGTCCAAATTAATACAGTCCCTCCCCAGCATTGGTAGGAAATGGATCCCTACGAATTTATTTTTCTTTCAAAGGCAGGTGGCGTTTTTTAAACTGTCTGTAAAATGGAACAGACTGCCATTTTCACAGGGGATATTTATCACACCCAGAGCTTTCCTGATCCTGGTCTGCCTTTCCAGGGGAGAAATGATAAGGAAGAGCTCTTCATGCAGCCTTGTTTAGGAGAATGCTTGCATTTTTCGCTTATCTCAACCCCTGTTGCCAGCTCTGTGCAAGGATGTTCTGTCTCTGTGGGGAGAAAAACGCCCTGCAGAGCTCTCCCACTCTGCCCCGATGCAGAGGGGCCTCAGGAAATCATCTCCTCAAGGATGGCTCTCCTTCAGCAGCCCTCAACTTGACAGAGCTCTGGTTTTAGCTCTTGTACCATATTGCAGTTGTACCATATTTCAGTTTTAGCTATTTTACCATATTGCAGTTTTAGCTATTGTACCATATTTCAGTTTTAGCTATTTTACCATATTGCAGTTTTAGCTCTTGTACCATATTTCAGTTTTAGCTATTTTACCATATTGCAGTTTTAGCTCTTGTACCATATTTCAGTTTTAGCTCTTGTACCATATTTCAGGTTTGATTTAGAGAGGAAATTCCTGCTGCTCTGAGCAGCTCCTGCTCAGTGCAAGGAAGCTCTGTGGAAGGTAACAGTGCAATTCATCCCTCACAAAGCTCCCCAGGATCTGGCCTGCCATCCTTGCTGCCAGCACAAGGATTCATTTCCCACCACCAATTAATCTTCCCTGAAAAGGGGTGCCCAATCCCCAACTCATCAGATCAGCATCAAACTCTCAGTCGATGGAGAGCAGTCATTTTTATCATTTTGGGTGCAATTTGGCTGTCTGGAAAGCCTCCTTTCAAACTTCTCTGCAGGCAACACGTTCCAACAAGAAAAAATCTCGCTGAAATTATAACACCTTGTCTAACTCAAAAAAACCCCACAAACCCTTAGCTCTCCCTTCTTCATTCTTTTCTGAATGTAGAGAAAGGCTTAATGAGAGGACAGGAGTGTGTAACAGTCAGAGGTAAATTTATAAAGCCCAGTTTATTTATTAATTAATATAAGAATTGACCATCAGTGTACCTTGAGAGTACCCTTCTGTTATCTGTCACTGCTTGAAATGGAGGCAGACCTTTCACCTGCACAAAGAGGATTTAGGAACACTTTGCAGCCTCCTCTTGGAGGTCCCTGGCTGCAGCCCAAGGCTAAAGCAGCCTTGATTGCCTTCTTGCTCCTCTCTCTTTATATCTGAATAAACCAAACCCTCTTCTCTCTCCAGACCTGCAAACGGGAAACCCCCCACCAAACCCAGGACACCAAACTAGCACAGATCAGCATCTGCTCCTCCTGGCTGCTGGATCTTCTCCTGGGAGCTGTCAGCACAGAAATCCATCTCCTGCCTAATCCACGAGGCCACAGCACCTCAGCCACTCTGCCCTGGCAGGTCTGAGGAGACGAGAGGGAGCACGGACACACGGACAGGGAGCAGCAGTTCCTGTGAGTGCAGGGTCAAGCACAGCTCCTTCCACACCCTGAGCTCCCCTGGGCAATGCCAGGGTCAAGCACAGCTCCTTCCACACCCTGAGCTCCCCTGGGCAGTGCCAGGGTCAAGCACAGCTCCTTCCTAACCCTGAGCTCCCCTGGGCAATGCCAGGGTCAAGCACAGCTCCTTCCACACCCTGAGCTCCCCTGGGCAGTGCCAGGGTCAAGCACAGCTCCTTCCACACCCTGAGCTCCCCTGGGCAATGCCAGGGTCAAGCACAGCTCCTTCCACACCCTGAGCTCCCCTGGGCAATGCCAGGGTCAAGCACAGCTCCTTCCACACCCTGAGCTCCTCTGGGCAATGCCAGGGTCAAGCACAGCTCCTTCCAGACCCTGAGCTCCCCTGGGCAATGCCAGGGTCAAGCACAGCTCCTTCCACACCCTGAGCTCCCCTGGGCAATGCCAGGGTCAAGCACAGCTCCTTCCACACCCTGAGCTCCTCTGGGCAATGCCAGGGTCAAGCACAGCTCCTTCCACACCCTGAGCTCCTCCAGGCAGTGCCAGGGTCAAGCACAGCTCCTTCCTAACCCTGAGCTCCCCTGGGCAATGCCAAGGCCCAAAAGCCACCTCTGCTCCCAGGACAGGGCTCAGGCACTAGAGCCAGGCCAGTCCTGGTGCTGACACACCTCAGAGATGAGAAATAAGGACATGAGCTGGACCTTTGCTCAAGGCTCTGTGTGATTTCCTCCCAAAATGCAGCCAGAGGTGCCATTTGCTACACAAAGCCATAGAAATAATTTTCCTCACTCAACACATCTTCTTGTTGTGGTCCCTCTCTCCTAGGGCTTTTGTTGTTTCATGTAATGGAATACAAGACTGCTTTGAGAAGCTAAATATGGATTCATTGCCTTACTTTTGAGGTTTTCACAGTCCTGGGGGCAAAGGTTCACTGCTCCCCTCACATTTGTTCTGCTGCTACCTCTGATCCTATTTCTGCAGGAGTTTGGCCTGAGTAAGGAAAGTGGGATTTGCTTTCTTGATGAGGGAAATGCCTGAGTGATTTTAAAAAACCAATTTTGTCACTTGTTTTGGTTAAGCAGATTGTTTCCCATGTTGATATTTTAGGGATATGTTATGGACTACTGTAAGTTCTGTCTTTTTCAGATCTGTATTTCATGTAAATATTTCTTTAGTATACTTGCAATTTAAGAACTGAGATATAAAATAAAATTATTCTAGTGATATTCATGACCATTGTTTCTTTCTTTCTTCGGTTCCTAGTCTCAGAAAAGCTAAAATCCTTCAGGGAGATAATAAACAAAGGGTTGGAAAAGTCTTGGCTAAGGGAAAAGCCAGTGATTAATGCACCATCCTGAGCACTAGGGTGCAGACTTCAGCTTCCACCTTACCACAGCCTAAAATCATCTGAAGTTGTCTTCCCAGGGGTTTGTGATGGGCCCAGTAACACTCCCACCTCCCAGGAAACTGCCAAGAAGGTGCCTGAGATAAAGAGTCTGTGGGTACTCTGGAATTCTTGTCACGGGGCTGATAAAAACCTGGCCAAAAGAGGAGTGGAAGAAACCCTTTGATAGTGTCCTCCTCTGTAAACAAGATGGGAAGGAGAGAAAATCAAAGAAAAACAAAGTTCTTCCAAACTTACTTGTTTGTAAGAATGAAAAAAAGAAAAAAATCAAGATTAGATAAGTGTACCTAAACAATAGCGAGCAAATACTGAATGGCAATTCCACAGAACTACACACACTGTGAAAATAAAAATAACAGAAAAGCCCCAACATTGAGGCTATGAGATCAATTTAATTATTGGGTGGTTTCTTATTGAATTAGTGGGAGCTAAAAATTTTCACTTAAAAAGTTATAACTCCAAGTGTTTCTGCCAAAAAGCTTTAGGTCTTTCCTCATATTCTCATATCCACATTTCACATGACACATCACACCACGCTCCTGCAGCCCAGGCAGAAGGGCAGTGAGCTCCTGCTCTGGTACTGACCCCCACACCCAACAGATGAAGGAACAGAAGCAGGATCTGTTTGCTCTGGGAATTGTTATTTGTTTCAGAGGCCTTGTTTGTTATTTCAGAACACACCTGATCACCTTCAAGCCCAGTGCCCAACTCGGGAGGCTCTGGGATGGCTCTGGGATGGCTCTGGGATGGCTCAGCACATCTGCACACTGATCCTCCAACCCAGCTCTGCAGGCACAGCTCACACAGCCCCAGTGACCCCCACACATCCCAGCAGCAGCTTCCTCCACTCATTATCACACTTTGATGCCCAGGGATACAACCACAGCTCCCAAAGCACTTTCCAGAACTCAGCTGTCGGTAGCAGCGCAAAGAGCGGCGCCTGTTTTCTGACAGAGCCAGGAACCAAGAGGCTTCTTGGCAAAGGGTTAGTAAAAACAAAAAAAAAAAGAAATTCAATAAAAAACCTTACACAGAAAGATAATCAACAGGAAAGGCTGTGTGTGCAAAGCTCCAGGAAATGCAGCCATTGCCCTGTGCCAGTGGCCACCCAGAGGCAGCAGCAAGGGACACCAGAGCACACAGCGGGCTTGGGGCAGGACGGAAGGAACCCGTGGTGAGACCAAAGAACCACAAGCAGATAAAACAAAGAATAAGCAAGTCACAAATTCTGGACTAGAAATTAATTTTTTCAGAAATTCTTTTTTCCCTCAACGTTTTGTCACAGAGGCCAAGCACTGTCACTTTACCCAAGAGGGTCCTGATGATATCACATCCCCCAAAGAGCGGTGCAGCCTCCCAAGCCAAGTGACAGAGTGACAGAGCGACAAAGTTCATCTCAGCTGTGCTGCACTGTCCCCAAGGACAGACACTCCAGGAGAAGATGGCTGGGTCATCTCATGCTCTGAGTATCAGCCCCAACAGCAACTGCATCAAACTCAGCAGCACCTGCCTTCTGACAGATGAGGGAAAACAGAGCTTCTTTGCAAAGGTGTAATAAATAAAACCCCTTACACAGAAAAGCAATTAACAGGAAAGTTCAATCAAACACCAGCCCAGCCCCTTGCACTCGGGTGAAATGATTCTTTCTAAGCATGCAAAGGTCCAGGAAGCATCACCCATCCCCATGTGCAAGTGGTCACCTGGAGGCAGCAGCAAGAGCCCTCTCTGGTGAACCATAAAAGGGTTTTTTTGAAGAGCAGAAGACCCTGTGGTTAAAGAAGAGAACCACGAGTTTTAAAAACAAAGAAAAGGCAGAACACTCACTTGTGCAAGGGGCATTCTCAACAGGTTCCAGTGCCAAAACCAACTACCTTTCATGAAAAGGCTTTGGCTGAGCAATAGCAAAGAAGAACTGAACAAAGAAGTGCAACAAGAACAACAGAGAAGTACCCATCAGTGTGCCAGAAACCTGTGCTTGGAGATAAACAGCTCACATGGATCTACACCAGGAGCACCTGAGTCACTGTGGGCTCTGGCAGGCACACGGAACTCCATGAATGTGCTCAGGAGAAGGAGGCAGAATCCCCGCCAAGAAAAGCGTTCCAGGGTCTGCACCAAAGGATGGGGCAGTTCTGTGTCTCCTGCACAGAATCTGTGGGGAGGGAAGTGATCCCACCTCAGCCACGAGCAGCATCGCTCTGGATCTCTAGGAAGATCATCCAGAAAAAATCCCTGAGGCACTTCTAAGAAATGAAGAGGTTAAAGGGACCCAGACTCTGGACTTGAACTGAATGCATCCTGGTGTTGGGGTCCTGGTGACATCACATCCTCCCCAAAGAGCGGCAGAACCTCCCAAGCCAAGTGAGAAAAACCCTCTCAGCTGCTCTGCACCAGCCCCAGGCACAGGCACCCCAGGGGAAGATGGACACGTCTCCTGCCCTGCTCCTGCTGCTCGCGCTGGGATTCTGTGAGTACGGACACGGGGCCGTGCAGCCCCTTCACTGGGACAAGGAAAGCCTTTCTATTGAATCCAAGACACTGGGGTAAATAACTAAGGTGAAGGAAAAAAACACACCAAAACTGCTGACATTGAGGTGTGCTCAGTAGTTGTGGGGGGAGAGGCAGAATCACCTCAGGCAGCAAAGGGCAGCCAGAGGGGCGGCTGCAGCACCACCTGCACTGGGAACAGAGATGGATCCAATGAGGGCTTCCAGAGGGGAAGGAGAAGTTTAAAAGTTAGTTTTCACAGGGAGCTTAAACAGCTTATCACTTCAGAGAAGCTGGGAAGGTGGAACGTCCCTGAGAAGACACTGGAAGGGCAGCACCCATCTCTCAAGCCCGGGATTGCTGAGCACCCTCCATGCACCATCCCAGCAAGGACTCCAAGAAAACCTTCACATCCTCCAGACAGTGAGGTCTTCCCTCTCCATTTGTACTCCCAGCACATAGAAAGGGAGGGAGGGAGCTTTCCTCAGAGGACCCTTTGACTCTGCCCACGTGGTTCCAGCAGGGATTTCTCTCCTGCAGGCTGCCCTGGGATCTATGGCCAGAAACTTGAGATGAAGGTCAGGTCTCCCAAGGACATTGGGCAGCTCCGGGTGGGACAGAGGCTGGAGCTGGAGTGTCTGACTGACAGGAGCCACGGGGCATCCTGGATCCGCCAGGACAGCACTGGGACCCTTCACTTCATTGCCTTCATCAATTCCCTGTCCCGGCCCACGTTTGAGGGGGGGCAGAGAACGTCCACACGCTTTGAGGCGAGCAAAGACAGCACGATCTATCGGCTGGCAGTGAAATCTTTCACACCACGGGACCAGGGCTGCTATTTCTGCGTGATGAATCTCAACCAAATGCTGCACTTCAGCCCCGGCCAGCGAGCCTTCCTCCCAGGTCAGCAACACCTTCCCCAGCCTCACCCAG